TTATTGTCTATTTGTCCGTTGTCCGAAGAGCCTAAATCTGAGAACCAAACTCATCTTTAAGACTCAAAACTCTTTTCCACTTCACTGGTTTTGGAAATAGAGCACCGAGATCTACCACCAAAGGAATATCAGTTTGTAGGCAACGAACTAAAAACGCTAATTTTACTTGTTAAGTATAAAACAATAGACATCAAAACAACAATTGGAGCTTGTCCCAAGTGGAAACGTGTTCCCCATAAGATGTTGTTTAAACCAATATTTTTTTAAATGACAGCCATGTCACCAATTTTAAACAGAAAGTTGACTCATTAAACAGTTTTGTGTAAAATGATCATTTTTAAATATATCATGTGGTAAATTCAAAAATTAATATAGTTAATGTGTGTTTTGGCATGACTTAATAGTTCAAGAAGAAACTGGATTTTGATTGGCGCGTGACCCAACGATCCCCAAATTTTTCTCTTGCAAATCAGATCTAGGGTTCGCATCGTCGTCATCTCACTTAGCCTCTCCGATGTCCGGCTTCGTCCGGCATCGTGAGAGGGCACCACCACAAGATCGTCTGTTTTGTGTCCGACTTCGGGCTCGGCTAGGTTGATCGGCGATTCATGGGTTTTCTCGTCGTTTGCTTTTGCTGAGGTCGTCTCCGTATCAGTGACGAGCGGTGGCTCTTTATCGATGTGCTTCGTCTTTATCAGTGACGAGTGGTGGGTCCCCTTCTATTCTGCTTAGGTCGGCAAATCGGAGTTGGGACTTTCCGCTGATCTTCTCGAGGTGGTTTCGATGGAGCGGCTGCTCGGACCTCTCTGGCTCGGAGCGATTCTTGTGGCGGTTGGGAGCTGTTCCGGCTGTTGTTTAAGTGCTTGACGGTTGGGTTCTTTTTGTCTTCGATCCATCGCGACTAGCTTTGGAGCTTAGCACTTTTATGCTTGCCGGTTTGTCCTCCGCATCAGCTCTCCTCCTTGGCTAGGATTTTCGCGGTGGTTGGTGGCTCTTCTCGCCTTTGGAGGTGCTCTCTGGAGTTTCCCTCGGTTTGTCTAAACCCTGTTCTTCCTCTGCTTTTGCTATTAACCGTTTGTCTAGAAGTCGCTTCTTTGTCTTGCTCTGGCCTCTCCGTTTGGTTGCTATCGGCGGTGAAGTTTTCGGTTTAGGAGCCTCCGTTTGGCTTGGTGGTGACGAGGTTTCCGGCGGATGTCGTGGAGGTTTGACGTGGTGGAGGCGTGTGGCGTCTCGACGTGGTTCATCAGTTGTCCCTCCGGATGAAGCCTCTCCGTTGGGCCCAGTTGTTGGGCAGTTCGAGGAGGGTTCTGTGGTGGCGGATGGATTTGGCCAGATCCCGTCGGCGTGCTTCTCGAGGTCTTTGGAGACGGATCTCCAGCGTCGATGGTCTTCCGATCTGCGTTCGTTCGCCACCTTCCCAGTCTGCCGGAAATGTGGCTTCTCTCCACTGTGGTCGTCTCGGTTGGCTCCCATTAACGGATCTTGTAGATGGTGGGCTGTCGTGGAGTCTAGTTCTGTGGTGGGTCTTTGTGGATTGGTTTTGTGTATCGGTTCCC